TCCATCACTAGTTTCTTTATTTTCTTTCATATCTTTAGGTGAGTTCCGTAGCTTCAGGGTGTCGGGGGTCAGTTTGCAATAAACTGTTTTCTGCTGTGTACAGTTAAATTTTTTAAATGCAGGAATGTATTTTTATTTTTGTTGGATGGTTTAAAACAGAACAAAATAATTTGAACGTGTAAATGAAATTCTAGTTTTTTTTTTATAGTTTTTGTTGGTCTTAAACTATTGATGCAGGAGAAATAAATTAATCTGTCTCTTTGCTCAGTGATCCGGTTATTCCTGGGGGGGGGATTAAAAGGGGAAGTGGTTGTTTTCGGGTTTTTTTAAGCCTCAGATCGCTGACATGCGAGTCAGATAGGAAACGCAGTCATGCGGAAAGAAGAAGAGAATCGGATCCAGAACGATTCTGTAGAGAAAACTTTATTGATCAATCAGCTGATTTAAGACAGAATCTCAACAAATATTTCAAATAAAAAGCTGCAGACATAAAACACTTTACAAAGTTTGAAATGACATCAGATGCTTCAAAAATATACAATGAAAGCTTTTCTAGAATGTTTTAGCTTCTTCTGCTCGACAGCGAAGCTGAAAGCTGAAGCGGTTATAACTTGTAGCCCAGTCCGGATCTGCTGATGTGGCAGAAGAGCGTCATGGCGAAGCACATTCCCAGGACCTGCAGGGATGGAGGACATGTTCAGGTCCCGCCTGCTGTGGATCAAGTTCCGCTAATCAGGAACGTCTTTCAGCAGCTTTTGGTTTCTGAGCCAATTTTAAAGGAAGAAAGGTTCCTGTGGGATCGATGGTCTAAAGGCTTTTCTCTCTACTTTCCTCCATCAGTCATATTTCTCCCTCCTTCCTCCTCTGCCTACCGTCTGATTAAAAACTCAAGTTTAAAATCACTGTATTTTTACAACTGGATCAGGAAGTCAAATTCTATATGTTCTATTTTATAAAACAGAATATATATATATATACATATCTCATCTACAAATATATATAGTATTCTATATATATATTCTACAACAAAACGTCGTCACCTTGATCTTACCTCAATGATGCAGAGAACAATGACAGCAATCCCAGTACTTAAGAAATTTTCTTCCAGCCAGTTTGTCAGTTTTTTCAAACATCCCTGCAAACAGCAAATGTGAAGAACATTTTATTTCAGTCTTAGAATGTCGGTGACTACGAGCTGCTAGGTGGGCTTTACCTCGGTCCAGTACCCAGACCCTTTTCTAGTGTCCTTGCAGGAATCGGGGATGTAGGACTTCCAGTCGCTGCTGTTCTTGACTCCGCAGCATTCGAACTGTTTCATGATTACAGAGAAATGTTGGTCAACAGCTGGATCTGAGCAGAAAGGTAGAAGGTTGTCTGATTCTGCTCACCCCCTCCTGGACCACATCCCAGTCACTCTTTTTAGTTGAATTCCCGGAGGTTCTCACTGCTTCCAGACCGTCTTCGAGATCTTTTGTCACTAGGTTACCAATCTGAACAGACAGGTGGGTTATAGTTAATGCTCAGAGTGATCCATTAATGACTCGATCATTTGCAGGTCAGTCCCACCTCCGCCTCATAAATGAGCATCAGGCAGGCAGCAGTGAGCTCCAGCAGCATCAGGAGGAAGAGCACCAAGAAAAACTGGAACACAAAATATTGTTTTTTTTTTTTAACTGCCTGAAACTTTTGATTCTACAGAGTTCTGTAAAAGATTTGTTCTTAGCATGTTCTGAACTTTGACTAGGCCATTCTAACACCCAGGAAATTCAATTCAGTTATACTTTATTACTCCCCAAAAGGAAATTCATATATGCCTCCTCTTGCTCTCCTGTTTATGGCTGGTTTCCATCTGCAGGTTTCACACGTTTATAAATGTGTCGCCATCTACAGGCCTTCCAGAAAGCACCACTCAGTACATCTGCTGGCTTTGCTTGAACAACAGCCCTCTTTCTGAACTAGTTCTATGAAAGCTAGATCTACTCAGTGCAGGGAGCATGCCCTGAGCTCTGCTTCTCTGCAGCTCCTCCAGACTTACCATGGTTAACCCACGTCTTGTTTAAAAAAAAGAAACTCTTTGCAATACTCTTTAAAACATAATATCGACCAAACTTTCACATGTTGACAGAAATAGACCACAATTTTATGACTTTTATGCTAATGAGGCTTTTTATCACAGATTTAGAACAAAGTTTAGTGAAAGTTGTCACCAAAAAAAAAGCTCTAAAACTTAGCAGCAAAACCTTTGAGCTCAACTGAAGACAGAAGCCAGAGTTAAAATCTGCCACCTGATTATTTTCACCGATGAGATCAAGAAGAAGCTTAATGGAATTACAAATGTAAACCATGAGCTTGTGGAGTAAAAATTGAGCACTGAGAGTAAGAAGAAAAGGTTTTATTTTCTTTGCAAAGGAGAATCACATTGGGAGCTGTGTTCAGCTTGTTCTGTGATTCTCCTTTGCAAAGAAAACAAAACCTTTTCTTCTTACTCTCAGTGCTCAAGCTGCAGTGCTTATACGGTTTATTAGCGATGGAGGGAAGTCATGGGGGCAAAAATAAAGTCTTAAATATTAATACAAGAGTTATAAAGAATTAAATCCCTTAAAAAAAGAAAGAATGCTCTTAGGATAACCCTGAAGAATCTCAAAAAACATCAACCTCGGTACTAAATGGTGCAATAAATGAAGAGATGATGAGCTCCAAGATAAAGACTTAAAAGAGCACTTCAGGTATTAGTGATCCACATTAGATCCATTGATTTCGTCTGCTGTTTGGATCAACGGGCCGATGTGTAAAGAAACACAGCAGGAGTCAAGAACGGGAACATGGAAGTTTCCAAGCTGAGTTTGGGTTAAGAGGTAGAAACTGGGGTGAATATTTACCCAGAAAGCAGCTCTGCTATGGCGATGAAATGGGAATTATGGGATGAAGTGGTGAGGAGAAAATTCTCATGTATTTAAAGTTGGTAAACTGAGTCTTGTAGCTTTAATCTCTTCTACAGCACATGTCTTGTGACTTAAGCTGTAGTTAAACATTTTTGGAAATAATGTTTCAAGGCTTGAAATGATTTAGGTTCTGAGGAACAGCAAACTCTTCTGGATCTGTGCTTATAGATATGAATTTATCAAATGAAGCATTGCTGGTTTACATGTTTGATGGTGGATCTTTTCATTCATGTCTCCTTGGCTTGATCCAATAACCACTATCTGTGATGCTGGCTAAGAATAAGGTTAAATACAGTAAGATTGTTATTCACGCTGGCGGTAATGACACCCGGTTAC